TGGACGGGCGAACAAACAGTGCATGTGGACGGACGAACAAACAGTGCATGTGGACAGGTGGACAAACAGTGGATGTGGACGGGCGGACAAACAGTGGATGTGGACGGGCGGACAAACAGTGGATGTGGACGGGTGGACAAACAATGGACGTGGACGGACGGACAAACAGTGCATGCGGACGGGCGGACAAACAGTGCGGTCACTTGTATTTGTCCTTTTAGCTGCTGTCTGGGCCAGCCTCGTGTAGCCGGCCCGGGTTGACGGCAAAGTCGGATGCGGCGTTTCTATGCGTGTGCGTTGTCAGGACTAGGTAGTCATGGTTGCAACATCGAATGTGTTGTATAGTGCATGGAACAGTTGAATAATGTAGTGGAAGGCGAGCCTTTCGCCCTGTATTTGTGCCTTTCATGACATTCAACTGCACCTTTTCTACTAGCAGACAAAGGAAAAAAGTTATAAAGATGTGCTGTCCTTTCGCTGTAACCACCGGTAACACCGAAAAGTACAAAAGTAGCTGGACAAAATCAGTTAAAAGTGCTCTTTTCGATGTCATCCATCAATGTTGTTCTATATTTACGACCATAACCCGTGTTTTTGATATCATAAATAATCCGTTGTCGTTGGCGCATGTCCTGAATTTTGAATGTTCATTCGCACATTTGATCAATCGATGATAGTGAAAACAGATCTGCGTCATATAAGTTTGTTGCTGCTCGAAGTACGATTCTTTATCGGTGCAAGATTTTCTCTTATGTTGTTTGACCCTACTCCGAGTGGAAAGACGACGGCTTCCAACCCTCATGATGACAGATTACGCCTTCTCACGGTGGCTTATTCTACCCCCTCAGAAAGACTGACTTCCCCTCCCCCTTCCACTTTTTCGCTGGTTTCTCCTAACCGGGCTGGAGCTGGTCGTCGAGGTCTTTATCCCCAGGTTTTTCCACGCATGGTATCAAAATTTCGGGCACATAATGTGCTCGGGGGCAGTTCCAGGGGCTGGTATCGGGAGGGACCCCGCTGAAATTTAGCGATCATGTCAAGATGGCGATCTTCCCGGAATAATAATCACTGCCCGCGTTTACAGGAGAAACTCATGCTTCCAGTGAATAATACAGGTGCATCATGAGTATAGTTTGCAGTAAAGCAAAAGTGATATGACACAGGTGGATCCATGGTAGAAAAGGCTCTTTCTCGAGAAGTGTTAAGTACATTTTGGGTCACTAATGAAGGCGTATAAGAAATTCTTGTCGGTGTCTAGACGCAGAGCAAGATGCAACCCTATTTCCTTATTAAGGCATCTTCAATTTTTTTAGACGAGACACGTTGGCGTCACCATGCCGTCCGAGCGACAGGCACATTTCTCGTTGACTGGGGGAGATCGTGAGAGGGGGCAAATTATCCCTGCAATGGCTTCGAAACAATGACATCCAACTGCATGCTAAGTACGATCGTGCCACTGGTCGAGATATTGATCCATCCCTCGGTGTCCCCATGCCAACATGCCTCTTCCCGTCATCAGTCTGCCGTGCCGAGCACCGTGCCCACGAGAGGTGGCACGTCACCGTGCTCCCTGGAGATAGTGCATCACCTTGTTCCATCAGCGGGAGCGGTTCCCTGCAGACGATGGGACAACGGGGGGCCGTTTCTATGCAGTGCCTTTGCAACGAACGGTGGCTCGAAACCCATCTGCCTTGCAGATCGGCCGCTGCACGAGGCTTCGGTATGTCCGTCCACGGCTGCCTGTGAGCCAAGCTCTGGCAGTCGTCCGCTGCGAGGCTCTCCCTCTCGGGCTCCGCCGGTTCCCCGAGCCCCAGACTGATGATTTGCCTGTCGCTTCAGAGCGTGTAGCGCCGCAGGTAACATTTCAAGCGTTGCGTGACGTGAGCTCTAGCGAGCCATTCGCCGGGTCTCCGGTGGCAAGGCGGCGACTTGCGGCGGATACGGCAGCAACGTTCGCCCGAGGCGCACATTTCGCCACGTCCCTGTCGTCGCCAAAGCGCCAGAAACGGCGCTCCGCATCACGCCGCCGGCGGGCAGGTGACATTTTCGGTTCGTGACGCGGCGGCGGCAAATTTGACAGAGTGGTCGGCGATCGGGACGTACGGCAAGACGACGCCAACGACGATCGGCGGGGCTCGGAGACGGCCTCAAAGCGTCGCTGAAGGCGCGCGGGGTCGCGGAGATGGTCGATGCGTCGCCGGGAGGAACGGAATGAGATGGACGGTTTGGGAGGATGCGTTCGGTTGGGTGAGGTGGAGACGCCGGAATCGAGGGAGAAGAGGTCTATCCGGAATCAGCTCCGTTTCTGAAAGTTGCGGCCAGCTCTGATGGCAGGGAGGTATCAACGGAGGTTCTTCTTTGTTTGAAGTTCTTTTTCAGTTTTTGTTTCCGACTGGTCGCTCGCACCGCATTTGCCACAAAAGTTTGATAGTGCTCAGATGCCATAACATCAAAAATACTTTGTTTTTTTCATTTCCTGTCGCATTTCCTGCAAGCCTACGCTGTTGTGTGTGCTATGTAGTTAAGGCTTTTTTATAAACACGTGCGGACAATGGCGTAGTCAGGGTTCTACCCAGGACGAGTTATTCTAGCCAGGAGTTAACACTACGTGGTTATAGGACTCTGTTTTCTAATTCAAGGAAACTTTTGGGACCAGTAATCACATTTGATGTTCATTTGATGAAGGTCCCGTTTCCATTTTTATATTTGAAATGTCCGACAACAAAAGATTGGTCTCGTTCATTTTAATCCTAGTTTCGTGCATGTCAAAGTTTTGTACCAAATGATGTGCGTGTCCTAATGAAGCATCCGGCAAATAACTGAACTATATTTAGCCAAATGCTTCTTAGCCGAATGCCATCGGCCAAATGCTGTTTTTTCAATGTGTCTTTTTCCACCATGTCAATCAAGTGAAACGCTAAAAGACGAAATGCAAGCTGCCAACATGCCTTTTTGGAGGCGTGTCAAATTAACGAAATACTCATAAGTCGATATCTATAGTTACCGAATGCCGAGATCATATAATACCAAAAAGGGCTGTAAAATAATAATCCAGGACCGTGGCCACTGTTGCAGTTTTTGTCCGAGAACAAAAGTTGAGAACAGAAATCGCGGCTACCAAGCTCTTGGAAAATTATTCCGGCCCAAGTGTGTATGCTGTTTGCCAAATGCTGTTGCGTGACAGAACATGAAATTTCGACGCATTTTTCTCATCATAACTGAGCTACGACATCGAAGAGGAAGGTCATGACGAGACAGTTACATAGTTTATTCAGTTCAATCGTAGGAAGGCGCCGCCATTGTAGGCATCGCCGGTATCAGCATAGAAATATCCGGGTTATGGACCATGCTGCCACAAATGCCGTCCACCACCAAACACTACCACCAACACCCGCGGTCAAACTGTTTTCTCAGATAAAAAATAACTGAGGCTTAGTGTTATACCATACGCACCAGCTCATGAAAAATAGATGCCCCAACATTTGGTAAAACTTTTCACCGCTGTCGTTTTTGATCTGTGAAAACATGTCTAACCGCGGGCCGGAGTTCTTTATCAGCTCAAGCCCAAACAGTTGCTTAGACAAAATACGACTGGAATTTGTGGAAACTCTTCCGGACTGCCGTTACTGTGGAAACTTTGCAACCACTGCACTATTGCAAGCACCCTCCTCTTATAACTGAGAAATCCTGAATATGACCTTGCACACCGCGGCCCCTTTCCGACGCAAGGGACCCTCTGACCGTGAAGCTGGCCCCGGATCGATGCACGGGCCCCTCATTAACGTAAAATGATTATTCACTGGCGGGGTCCAATAAATGACACAAAGGTCCCACTTCGAGTTATCGAGCCCTTGCATGAATCGTGGCGGAAAGCTGCTTTTATGTATGGACTTTTCCCTCGCTTCACAGATTCCCAAAGTGTCCGCCACTGATCGAGAAAGAGTTCATTTCAGGACAGGAATCGGCAATGGAAGGTTAGGGTCTGGAAATGCCCATTTCTGATCCAGAAGGGTCAATCGTGGGCTCAAGAACAGCCCGTTTTAGGTCTGAAAATGGCCATTGTCGGCTCCGAAAGGGCACTCTCAGATCGGGCAAGGGCCCCAAGCTTGAGAGAGGGACCAAAAATGGGGAAAAGAACGCACTGACAAGCGCTGGTATTTCATAACCGTGGACTTATCCCGAGCTTTTTTTTAAGTTTCGTCCCTACCGTAGCGTTATGTCGTCTTCACGTCATCGTGTGTTCGTCACCGTGCTGGCAAGAGTTGTGGCTGTCAGCTGCAGGTGACATACCAGTGCGCATACCAGTGCACCAGATGACACCAGATGACATACCAGTGCACCTTCTGGAAACCCTCCAATCTGCGACCAGCATGTTAGCTTAGGCTCGATTCCCTTCGTGAAGCGCGAGACGCTGCTGCGCCCGGTGCATATCAGTGTTTCATCTAAAGGCTTGTGACTGTGGCCTGTTGCTCAGCTGATGGATGTCGCCAGTATTATTGGATTGTCTCCATGCTCCCATTTTCGGGGTGTCAGTCAAAAGGCAGGCGTTGTCAGCCAATGGTCGGTACCAATGGCGTCGCTCATGCGGCCTGCCGGGCGGCCCATGGAGCCGCGACAGATGATGCGGCGCCGTTGGTTCTCGATGCTGACGAAACTGGGGCGTCAGCTGCGATTGCTTGTCATGGGCGTAGAGATTGTCTGAGTCAGCCTTCAAGACAGAGGTTCACGACTCTGTTCACTCATTTATTCGTCTAAGAAAATCGTAGACAATTAGCCCATTCAGCTCGGTTCATTAAATCATGATGCAGCGTCATCCTGCCATGCCGCGCGTCACCACATCCATAAATAACAGGCGAACAATCGTCAAATCAAATAGTCTTTGGTATTGCAAACCCTCCGCCAAGTTGGCAGTAAACCATGGTCGGAAAGCACCGCTGCTACCTGAGCAGCGCGCTACACCTGTCACCAGATTACACCACGCTTCCCCCCCCCCCCCCGCCCCCCACAAAAAACCCTCAAACCACTTCAGCTCAAACCACCTCCAGCTCGGGCCGGGACCGCCCGGCTTACATAAGCGGGACAGACACAACATGATAGCTGATATCTGTAAGCGGCAGAGCTGGGAGCGGACAGTCGGTCGGGCCCGGTGGCGTGCCGAGCCGGTATGATACTGTCGCTTGATCGTGTGGAGGGTGGAGCGGGCTGAACCGTCCCTGAACCTGAGTCTGACCGCACGTCATCGGGTGCCGTCACTGGCTGAGCTCCCGGCTGCCGTGTGACAGTGACGTCACTGGCTGAGCTCCCAGTCACCGTGTGATGGTGCCATCACTGGCTGAGCTCCCGGCCGCTGTGTGACAGTGACGTCACTGGCTGAGCCACCGGCCGCCATGTGATGGTGACGCCACTGGCGGAGCTCCCGGCTGCCGTGTGATGGTGACGTCACTGGCTGAGCTTCCGGCTGTCGTATGATGGTGACGTCACTGGCGAGGCTCCCAGTCACCGTGCGATGGTAACGTCACTGGCTGAGCTCTCGGCTGCCGTGTGATGGTGACGTCACTGGCTGAGCTCCCAGCCACCGTGTGATGGTGACGTCACTGACCGAGCTCTCGGTCGCCGTGTGATGGTGACGTCACTGGCGAAGCTCCCGGCCACTGTGTGACGTGCACAAGTCACGCGAGGCCAACACGCCGATGCTCGATAATACCCCATCGGAATATGCTGCTACCTGCTCAGCAATACAATCAAGTCAGACGCTGCCAAACACACTGTCTCGGCCCTGCCGGCCGGCCAGCGGCCACGACAGGGCGGATAATCGGGCGCGGACCGCGCTGGAATGCTGCTTGCTTCGCGCGGACCCGGCAGGCCCGGAGCGACGGGAGGTCCCGGATTGGCACGGCTCAGCACAGAGGCACGCGGCGGCACGCTCGGACCCAGCAGGTCCGGCGCCACGGGATCCCGGATTGGCACGGCTCAACACAGAGGCACGCGGCGGCAGTCTCTCGCATAGCAGGGCACCAGGTGACTGGTAATATGCACTCCGGATACCATGCCCCCGGGGACGAGAAAAGGTCGTAGCCGTGCAACAAAACACAATCCGCGCTTTAAGATCAGCCGCGTGACTCGTACTCATATTGCGGAACGCACTCTCGCTGGTGTTTTGGAGCCGGACGGGCACGAAGGCTCGGCCGGTGCCGAGTTTCCGGCGGATCCGCCGTGTCGCCGCGGCCAGCGGAGCCCGGCCCCGTGCGTACGGCCGAGACGTCTGCGCCACGCCATCTACGCCCCTGCGCGGTCTGTGCGCTACTCTGTGGCACGCCCCACAACATCTGTCGCGGGGAGAACTGGGTCACGCCACGCATGTGAGCGGAAGCCGCGCTCTCGCAGCGCAGCCCCCTCACCCAGCGCCGATCCTACACCAGAGCTGCGGGGCACCGGCGTCCTCGCCGCCACGTCCGCGCTCTAACAGCCCGCTCGTCCGCACTCCAACAGCCCCGCTCGTCCGCACTCCAACAGCCCCGCTCGTCCACACCCGCGCATGGAATGCCGATTGACAGCCAGGTTGCACTGTGCGCCCGGTGAGAGCGCTCGCCGCGCCACGAGACGCCTCTCACGTCCGTTCCGGCCGCGGCCACCTGCCGTTGATGCACGTGCCGGGCGCGCGCCACCACGTGTTGAGGTCGGTGATGGTCTTCTGGCGGCCAGGATCGTGCAGCATGGCGCACAGCCGGCAGAAGAAGAACGTGTTGATGAACTCGCCCGTGCCCTTCCACTGGAAGTACGAGTTATAGAGGTGGTCATCACGGTCCAGCGCGTGGAGGAAGTCGGCCAGCTCCTGCGGCGACTTGAAGTCGTCCACGTGGATGTAGGAGTGCTCGGGCGCCGCTCTCCTGTAGTCGTCCGGGTGGGCACCCATCACGATCGGCAGCACGTTGTACCTGCGGGACACGGGAGCTGGCGTTAGGACCGGCCGGGGTGGCGACTGTGGGACGGCGGCGTGGTCTCGCGCACGTGATGGGAGCCTAGCAAGAGAGAGTCTCGCGCACGAAGCGGAGCGGGGCGCCGAGCGCCGGCGCGAGCCCCAAGATCGGTGTGCATACGAGTGCAGTCGAGATCAAACCGTGCTTTAGGATGAAGCAAAAGTGCGTCGTGCAGGTGCCTTAAATGAGAAGGATGCTAGGTGAACTTATCGTGAAATGATCGTGGAATAAGCTGATGAGAGGTCAAGAAACGTTCCTTTCGCTCTCTACTCCAGGCATCGGTTAGATGGAGAGTATGAGAAGCAATGATGATTACAGTCAGAGAGCTGTTGCTAATGGTGCTCGTAATTCAATTCTGAATTTCGGGGAAGCGCAAATTGATGGTTGCAGTTTGAATGCAGATGGCTGGAGGGCGAATATGTAAATTTCAGATAGGTGGAGCAAATGTGCCACGTTGCAGTGTTTGAGGACTGGTTATGTCGGTTACGATGATGATGATAAGCCAGGTCATTAATATTATAACGTCTCTTTTATAACACTATGGAAACGTCCCTGAAACACTCCCTGGCCGCGTACCTGCGCTGTAGCCATTGGGCATGAATGGTGTCTCATCTTGTGCCATTGGGCATGAATAGAGTCTAAAGCACGGGGTCGATGAATGACCGCAGTACATTTGTTAGTCTTCGAACAATGAGCGTGAAACACCTGCCATTTACCATCGCCGATGATATAGAATAAGCAGGCACGCAGGGTCGGCGGTCTATCAGGCTGCGACCTTGCATTGGTGTCACATATTGGTGGAGCTAGAGAGGTCATCTGTCTGTGTTGGACGATGTCATATGTAGGGCGTCTGTTTATAAAGGTGGTCATCATATGCAGGACGGAACCAGCACAATGGGGCAATTACAATCAAGTCTACCGTATAAAAATTGCTGGCACTCATGAGTACGTCAGCAAGCTTCCGGCATATTCTCCTTCTTCGTATGTGTTTCATTTTGCGAATTCTTACCATTTATGCAACCATATTTTTGCGCTGGTCTGATCTTGAAATGGCCTCTTCGGTAATCCATTAGGCTCGGGCGACGCCAGTGTTGCGACGGTGCGTTATTTTGTTTTTGTTTTACCTGGCGCAAATCACCACACAACTATAGCACGAAAGTGTGTAACCATAACCGCAGTGAAGCGAACAAACCAAAGAAGTGAGATGAAAGGATCAAATTTAATTTCGATTTTTATGACAAAGACCCTAAGTTGGCATTGCTTACAGTCTTATGCTTTACATGTAATGAAAACCGTGTTTTGGCTCCCCATATTTGGCCTTCCCAGAGAAAGAAAAAGAAATGCTTTCACTGACACAATCCGTCGAAACTTTGTGGGTCCTTCATGTGAATGGATTCAGATAGCGGAACAATGGAGCAACCGTCCAGATGGTCACGCATTACAGCAGCCCAATGAACATATGGGCTTGAGCGTGTTAGACTCGGACACTACAACCGCACTGCGCCGCGTGCAGTTGGCTAACCCGACAGAGCGCCTCCTGGGTGCTCCCGCCGCCTGAGATGGCAGCGGGCCCGTCTCCCACCGGCCGCGCGCCCGCCGCGCCAGCCCGAGCAGGCCGTCGAGCCGCGGCGGCTGCAGGCGTCGATAGCTGCTGACGCGTCTGGTGGGGGCACGGACGCTCTGGGTTATCGGGCGGCTGACGTCAGGGCTGTGGCGCCGCCTCAGCCGCGAGGCCGTGGCGCCGGGTGCCGCCCCGGCCGCGAAGCCGCGGCGCCGGCTGCGCCTCAGCGAGGCCCCACGGCCGGCGGACCTCGCCGCCAGCGCCAAACGACCGCCGCAGCCCTCCCGCCAATCTTGCCCATTTAGGTTAACGGCACGGCCACGTGCCGTTAAGCACTGCCCCGCAGGGTTATAGAACCCGCCCGCTAGAATCGGGGGCCGGGGCCTCTCGCTGCCGGCCTCCGGCGGCCCCAGAGCGGTGCATGATAACAGACCAAACACTCTTCCCTCCAGCCGACCTCGTCGCCTTTCGGTCCCGCCCCGGATTTGACGCCGTATTACGCGGAATGGGTCGTGCCTTGCATAATGTAATATCGAATTCGTGTCTGATGTTGCCCACCAGCTCTTTTCGTCATGTCTCTCCGCCTGCATGCTGCTCACAATACTAATGCATCACAACCCACGGGCCTTGCGACCCACAGCCCGAGAAGAAGCAAAGCTGCAGACATCACGGTCAGATCCTGCATAATACATAGCAGCTGCATTATAAACCGGCCGGATCTCGCTCCGTCTGTGCTGGCGGCCATTCGCCAGCGCCTAGCGCCTCTGTGGGTCTCCCAGCGTCAGGTCCGGCACAGTGGGCTACTATCCGGCGATTGCCTGTCCGTCGGCCGCGGAGCGTCGCCCTGGACGTCCCGCCGGCCAGCCGCGAGCACGCCCGGGCCGCCGCTCTGCCCTGCGTCCCCCGCAGCCCCGCCGCCGACCGCGGCTCCGCCGGCGGGCAGCGCGGGTCCGGGCCGCCGCTCTGCCCTACGTCCTCCGCACCTCCGCCGCCGACCGCCGCTCCACCGGCCGGCAGCGCGGGCCGCGGCCAGGAGGACGGGGAGGGGGCGGCGGCGAGATCGACAGCTCCCCTCCCCTCCCCACCCCTCTCAGAATCGATGGCGATTTCCGACAAATGCGAAACACGGCCGCGGCGAAGCGAACCACTGCTAGGCAGCGACGCCGCACTGGTGGCTGGTGCGGTGGCGGCACCGCACTCGTGGCTAGTGTGGCGGCGCCGCACTGACGGGGCGGTCACGGGTCAAGGAATGGCGGTTACGAGTCAGTAAGAGGGCGGCGCGGGAGAGACGCTTGCAGCTGGCCAGACACACCTCTGTGGTTCTGTGCCGTTCCGTATGACTCAGTTGGCCGAATTTCCAACACATACCGGCAAGTCGCGGGAACATCCACTCCAAGCGGCTACGCTAGAGCCTGCATGGTACAGCTCGGACGGCCAATGCCGACAATCAAAACAGACACTCACTAATCGCTGCGGGTCCTTATTGGGCTCATCGGTCATGCACAGATCCCATGAATAACGCATTCGATTGGCAGCGTGCGATCCTGGTGGCTTGTGTCGGCGCACTTGTGATACCTATCTATGCATACCTGCCTATGCCCATAGTTACAAGGTTCCACGCGAGCAGGTTCTTATACCTATAGGTATTGCATGCCATTCACCTGCGCGCCCAGCGGTAACGCTGCCATTGCTTGTGGTAGTTTTGCTTCATCATGAGTTGCTTCAGAAAACGACACTTGATAGCAATGTCCAATCCATTGAGTTCGGTCAAATCGTCTACGGAAAACCGTAACGTAAAGCTGAACAATATAGCAAGGATGGCGGTGACATAACTTTGATGATTCGGATCAAGCGACGGGTTTCCGTCTGGCAGCGGGCCGCTATGAGATCGTTTCTTCAAAGCCTCAGAGACGGGCCAGCTCGCGTGCGCGTAAACGAACGACTGACTGCGACTCACCGGACGAGACAGCCGATTACAGGAGGTAGTGTCCCATCACTACGACCAATCAGATGGCATAAAACGTTTTCGCAGATCGAAAGCGTCCACCATTGAAACCATGGCGTCGCCGCGAGGTTCTGTTCGTGATTTAGCGTTTCATCTGGCTGAGATCATCGGATCGCTGTGACGATCCAAGGCCATCCGTAGTAATGATAGGCTCGGTGAGTGCTCTTTGAGTTGGCAGGCGCTTTGGGAACGAGATTTCATTCCGGGATACTGTAACATATGAACATTTTATCGCGCTCCATTCTTACCTTCAGACCATATCACCACCATCTTAGTTGTCATCTTTATTTTATCTGCTCCCCTTCTCTCTCTCTCTCTCTCTCTCTCTCTCTCTCTCTCTCTCGCTCTCTCTCTCTCTTCTCTCCTCTCTCTCTCTCTCTCTCTCTCTCTCTCTCTCTCTCTCTCTCTCTCTCTCTCTCTCTCTCTCTCTCTCCCTCTCTCTCTCTCTCTCTCTCTCTCTCTTCCATCCTTCCCCATTCTCCCGCCCTCCCGCCATCCCTCCCAGCGCCCGTACTTTAACGCCCCCCCTCCCCATGGATGTGGTGAACCTCACCGGTTTCTCACCCCTTTCCCTCCCTCTCACCCGTCCAGCACCCGTCCCTCCGCGCGTCTCCGACGGGTGCGGTGTACCCGCCGGCTTCTCACCCCTTTCCCCTCCCGCCCGTCCAGCACTCGTCCCTCCGCGCGTCTCCGGCGGGTGCAGTGTACCCGCCGGCTTCTCACCCCTTCCCCCTCCCGCCCGTCCAGCACTCGTCCCTCCGCGCGTCTCCGACGGGTGCAGTGTACCCGCCGGCTTCTCACCCCTTCCCCCTCCCGCCCGTCCAGCACCCGTCGCTCCGCGCGGCTCCGACGGGCGTGATCTACCTCGCTGGCCGCCAGTGAATGGTCGGCTGTTTACCGCTGCAGGGCACGCTGTTTGGCGCCGCGCGACTTTTTGTGCCGCCTCACCATTCATCTCAACTGCCGAGTCAGCTTATTGCCTACACTCGCCAAAGCTCGCCTTATTGTCCGTTGTTGTTTTCGAGCCATGGCGTCAAGCCCAACCCCTCGCTTCTACTGCAGCTCTCTCAGCGCGAATCCGGCGCAGCCCGTCTTTGTTCGATGAGCTCCCCGGCTTATTCGTCATTTCTCGCTGGGTCCCACTCCACTCCTCTGCGTCTTTTTTGTCCTCGTGTGCCTCTCACCCTCTCTGTCTCCCGCTAATATTCCTTGAAGTTGAGTGACGGAATGAGCAGCGCGGAGGTATTACTGACTCACATGATTACGTCTCCCTTGATCAGTTCTCCTATCCCATAGACCGAAGCAATGTTTTTGGCGCACCCCGATCCAGCCAGGACTGACTGGCCGATAGCGGGCCAGTGAAGACCCAGACCCTGACGCCAACAGCCTGACGGCGGAAAGACGAAGCGAAACGGCGCTCAAGACATGGTTTTGAGCGGTTGCAGCTTTCAGGCATATCTGAGAATATCCCATCAGCGGTTGCGCCTTTCAGGCATATCTGAGAACATCCCAGCGTTACGCCGGAACTGGACCATTGGATGTGGTCCGGACAGACCACGATAGAAAAATAAGGCTATCGGTCACTTTCAAGCGTCGACATATTATGGCAAACGCAGGGGCAGTGCTGGGCAAGTCCAGCAGACGCGAGTGACTCCGAGATACCCTGGGAGGAAAGAGGCCGTTAAAACTAATGCAGGTTAAAGCATCGCATGTCACCAGCAGGTCCAGGCACATCCAGACAGATAAGGACGCATTGCCAAGGCCGACCCGAGAACGGCTATTCGGTAACCACGGTGACCTCAGCTCAGCGAAGGCAGTCGTCCGAGCAGCAGGCGGTTAATTCCCGCCAATGTCCGGACCTCCCTGAACCCCCCCCCCCCCCCGCTGTCGTTCTGCCTCCCTGAACCTCCCTGCTGTCGTTCTGCCGTCGTTCGTTCCCGTCTGACCGTCCATATGCGCGGCTAAAGCCGACCATTATGCACCAGCCACAGCTATTTCTGGCATGTGGACGGCCACGTACTGGTGGCTGCCGGCAGCCGACGCCTGCCCCGTATGCCCGGTCCGTACAACCGAGCCCGGGCCATTGATTGGCGCTGGCTGCAGGATGCTGCCTAGGACGTCATTGATCGCCGCTCCCGTGGCGCCCGTGACCGCCGTTCTTCTGGGCTGGCCCGCGGCTGCCGCCCTTGTCTCGTCGGCCCTGATTCGCCGTCTCATGGCTGCCGCCGCCGAGCGGTCCCCAGGGACATCGATCATCGGCGGTGCGGAGCGGCGGCGGCCGCGAGGAGGACGCCTCGCCGCCGCCGCCGCCGCCGCCACCGCCGCCCGGGTCACTTCATGCAGACGCCGGTCCGCAGCGGCTCGGTCGATAGGGCGGCAGACGCGGCCGAGACGCCCATTGCAGTCGGCCGGCCGGCGGCCCGGCCGCCACAGGACCTTGCCCGCTCTCTCGCGAGGCTGGACGGCCGCCGGCCCGGCCGCCACGGGACCTTTCGCTCCGGCGCGAGGTATTGGGTCGGGCGTGGACCCCGTGGTCGCAGCTAGTCCCGAACGCTGGTCAGTCAGCGACGCGCAACGATTGCCAGAACCTGCGCGTGGGACGGCCCGGGACACGTGAGCAGGTCACGTGATCCCTTCAAGCGAAACTCAGGCCGATGTGACGAAGCAAAGATATGCGATGAAGCCGGCACGGAATCGGGCACATGAACCGTGCCGCTGTCCGTGCCCCGGTCCACGTTTCGTGTGCCACTGCCTGGAAACGTGGCGCAGTATGCACGGTTTCATGGCCCCGGGCGTCGGGTGGCGCGCTGTGACGGCCCACAATTCCGTGGGCATCCGAGTTGGACTAAAAGCTGATCCGAAGCCGCTATCCATTTGCAGGTCTGGCAGGTCATAAAGCCAGGGCTGCAAATGCGTGGCCCCTCAAGTGGGCGTGCGCATATATCAAATTCAGCGCCGACGCGATATATTGGTGCACGAGCTTTGTCTGCGGTATTCCTTTTGTCTCTCAGCAGCACCAGCACCCCACTCCGCTGCTTTGTTCGCTCAGTCATTAAAGGTCCTAGGGGAGAAGCCAAAATTGCAGCCTGCTGGAAGTCAAAAGCAAACCATTGTTACTGCGTTTCTGTCGTCCTGGGTCTCAAGAGCACGACCGGAATAAGTTCATTACATCAACACATATAAATGGCATGAACGCATTCGCGGCAAGTAATTTATCATGAGCCAACAACGGTGGCGCGGTAAGCCCTAAGCACACAGCCGCGTGCCGGAAGACTCGGCTAATGGCGCTGCTAACGGGCACTGCGACGACAGCCAAGATAACGTGTGACCGCCGCCGCGCCGCTTCGCCAGGTCACAGGACCCCGAGCCGCCAGTCCCGAGCAGCGCGCGACTGGCCAGCTTGAATGGGGTCGGGTTGCAGTTGAGCGCGCTCCTGCATTCTCAACTGAAAATGATTGAGTCTTCCGATGGCCCTTAAGCACTGTCAAGCGTTCGAAGGCCACACCTGGGCCAGTGACCTATCGCGTAGTACTCGAGTGATGCCGCTCGGCTGGCTTCCTACCGCCGAACGAGCATTGATGACGGTGTGGGAGGTAAGGAGTACCGGAAACTACTCTCGCTCCAGTGGTGAATTGCCCGCCCTTGCGTTCAGGTCTTCAATATCTGCCCGGCGGCGAGAGCTGATCTTCGCTGGAGCGCTCGGTTCCTGTTGCATTGAAAGCCATTCACAGTGACCAGAATCGCGACACGTTTCAGACTCATGACCTGTGCGGCGAACCAATCGAATATCAAGATCCGAGCATGTTGCTGCCGGCCAGGGCTTAGTTCAGCTGCTCCGATCCCCCTCACAACTTTGAGGAGAAAGTGACCCAATTGGGGAGAGGCCCATGTTGGCGTACTTGCGGGTAGAAATCGTCATTTTCCACTGGTTGGACACTCATCTGATTTTGCGAAACTACACCCCTGCTGCTGGAAGGCGATCTGTGCGTGTGGCTTAGCTGAACTTGGAACTCGGAGGGGCTAGCTACCCTTCTCATATCTAAACGAGCAAGCTCTACCTCCCTAGGAGTGGGACGGAGGCGTAACGTGCGGCCTGGAATGCATTAACTGACGGGTGATGGCTCATTGTACAACGATCAGAAGAACATTGAAGAGTAAGTTGTTCAGTGCATTAGCGAGGAACATTATACACATAAATAAGACAGTAGCAGTAGCATTATTCCTCGGAGGAAACCAGGAGAATAGAAATATAGCTTGGTTGGTATTTCGGCAACATGCCTTTATCAAAACAATAGCAGGAGTTGTCACTTCACCACCGTCACTTCTGCTATTGTTTCAATGAAAGCGTATTGCCGAAATATCAACCCAACTATATTACCATTCTCCTGGTTTTCTTCGAGAAATAAGGCTAATACTTCTGTCTTATCTATGATTATTGAAGAGCATGTATACCAGAAAAACTATGAAAGTTGTCATGTACTTACTGCAATCCATTGACGAAGAACTTCTCGGTGATGTAGTCTCGGCAGTTTGAATTCTCAAACGCCAAGTAAAACTTGTATTCGCTATTTAGCTTATCGAAACACTTCTTGGCCATGCTACGCGGACACTTTTTCGTGCCGCAGCTGCCGTAAATGTCTACGTCTATGTATTTGGCCAGAGCCTTGGCGTACTGTAGCCGCTTGTTGGAGGCGCCACAGTTGGACACGAACCACGCCACCTTCTTGGTCTTGTTGGCGGCGTAGTTGACCTCCTGACGCCGGAAGTGCACAGCCTCGTCGTGGTAGACCCACTTCTCGTAGGGCGCCACCACGTCGCTGTCGTGGCGGTACGTCGCCGTCCAGTTAAACTTAGCCTCCGGCTTGAAGTTGACCGTGTGCAGCGGACACTCGAGCAGGTACATGATCCAGACCTGGTCGCGCCGGCGCCGGCTGCGCGGGCCGTGGAACCGGTCCTTGAAGAGCACCGCGTCGGCCGCGTCGATCTGACTGCGCGACGTGGTCAACTCGCACGTGTTCACCGGACAGCCGTTGCGCAGGAACTCCTCCTGGCCGGGCTTGAGGCGCGCGCCGAACCCCTCGTAGAGCAGGATCTTCTTCAGCCGGCCGGCGGTGGCGGCCGGCCGGAACAGCAGCTGGTTGACAATGCGGTCGCCATCGTGCTCATCCGGCCACAGGGGGAGGTCGCGCGGCCCGGCGGCCGGCGCCGGCCGCCGCCGGCCGCCCTGGAAGAACCAGTAGCGCTCACCGGATTGCGGCGGCGGGCCGGCCAGGAAGGCGCTGACGCTGGAGGCCTGCCGGCGCGCCGCCGCCTCGAGCGGCGCCGGCGCCTCGGCCGTGCTGCGCGCCGCCGAGCCGTTCCTGGCGCTCAGCGAGCGGGAGCGTGCGAGCGCCGCGCCGCCGGCCAGTCCCGTCGGCCACGGTGTCAGCTCGCGCTGCGGGAAGTTGATGAAGAAGAGCGTGCCAGAGGCGACGAGACCGGCGTACAGCAGACCGCGCCTCACCGAGAGGCGCGGCATGGTCAGCACGAGCCGCGACGCCCGCCGTCACGGTTCGGCGCAGATGCTCGGCGCGGTCACGCAGTCACGCCGTCGCGGTCACGCCCGGCGCGGTCACGCGGTCACGCTCGGCGCGGTCACGTTCGGCGCGGTCACGTTCGGCGCGGTCACGTCCGGCGCGTCCGGCGCGGTCACGCTCGGTGTGGTCACGCCCGGCGCGGTCACGCTCCGCGCGGTCACGCCCGGCGCAGTCACGCCCGGCGTGGTCACGCTCGTTGCAGTCACGCGGCACCCTGCAACAGAGAGAGGCCGTCATTGTAAACGCTGGGGGCACTCGGGACACGGACGAAACGTTAGCAGGAACGGACTAGTCTCGATGCCTTTCTTACCAGGCGGCACCACGAAGCTGCACGTCTATATGAGTAGTACATTGCTATAAAGTGGGAATGTGGCCGACTCAGACACCACTTCTTCGTGACCACTTGTTCCCACGACTATGCGTATCATTCTCGTCGCTTTGGTTCACCGGCCGTTGCTGAATATCAACCGCACCGTGCATGTACCGTAAGGTCAATGAAGCTTGCATCCGCAATAAATAGCAACACTGCGGACGCTCTAAAAGAACCTGGCCGGGCGATGAGCCATGGCCACCGATACAGCGGCCTCCAGACTATGTCAATCGATATGTCGGCCGACCAATAATAGTGGCACGAAGGTGTAGGGGGATGGCGCAGGGCACGAAGCGACAAAGGATAACGGTGCATGGATGGCACGGTATCAGCGACGTCGTCAGGCGGCTAGCAGGTGATGGATGAGTTCACGGACCAGCAGGGCCTCATGAAAAGACCACTGGGGTTGCCGTCAATAGCCAGTTGATCAATCTAACCAGGGCACGCACAATGCCCATGCAGGGCCGATAGTCAAGGTGCAGGGGCACTGTCGTGAATGGCATTTGCTGTTCAATGTTCGCTTGCATAACAGTTGTATAAGCTGCAACCTCATTTGTTAGAATAACCAGTCGTAAGCCTTCCTGCCCGCAAAAAGAAAAGACCCGGAACTTTCCGAGCTCACTAGGCAATCGTGGCCTCCGTCTAAAAAGTCTGAAAATTTGACGGGATCGATGGTCTGAAAGATCAGTCTAGGTCCACGGAGAGGGGGGGGGGGGGGGGCGGCTCAACTCAGTTGGCAGAGCGCTCAGTCACGATCGCGGGCCAGCGGTCGTGGGTTCGAGCCTGGCTGTCGGCCCGGTGCTCCGACGATCCCCGACAGTCACCATGAGAACTGGAGTCGCTAAAGGGCGAGAGGGGCGACGCCGACATTGCAAAACTGCCCATGGTTTCAAATCAAACTGCGGAGACTTCGCCGCTAGCTCAGAGGCTGACCCGGTGGCCAGCGGTAGCTCGTGTGCAGCGGCGCTCGGACTGGGAACTCGCCGCGGAACCAGGCTGCCCGGGCGGTGGGTGCCGATGGGCACCACTGCCCGCTCATGGGCTGGGGGGTCCAGGTGGAGCGCCGCCACTGCAGGGCCTGCCGGCGGCTCCTGCATCGAGGCGCTTTCCGGTCGTGATCGGCAGGGGTGGGGGGGGGGGGGGGGGCGCAGGCGACGCCAGCGGGCATGGTCGTCATCAGCGCCACCCAGCAAACAACATATACCACAGAAGGTCTGTTGTCGCATTTAGAGTGTCTGACTGGCTGACTGCGGCTGTCTCGTGCGTGTGCCGACGAGGTAATGCCGTAATTGGGACGACTGGGAGGAAACGCGCGAAACCACTGGAATTTCCGTCTTCCCCGGACTAGCTCGCGGCGGCTGTAAATCATGCCGGGTGAAATACCATTTGTGATGCTTTGATAATACGTACGCTGTTTAAAAGATGTGAGAGAATCTGGTGCTTACTGACCATGATACACGTTTGTAACTGGATCGTAGCTTGTCCGTTCCGACAGCTCAGTTAGTCAGAGCACCTGCCTTCCGTCTGCCCACCCACCCGTGGCGGTGTGGGTGCAAGTCGCTTTAGGCGCTCGCTATTTGCTCTTGGCAGGTATGGCCTTCGGTCGATGGCGGCCGCGCTTAAGGGCAGGTAATGTCAGAGGGCAGGACGCACCGTGCCGAGCAATGACGCACGTTTAACTTTTGGCAACAAGTTCTACCTTTGACCCGGAGTTGCGCGATCGGATAACAGGGGTCAGATTTGCACAACAAGCCCTGCTTATCGTGAGCTCTGATCCCAGAAATCCGTCTCTTCAAAAGGTTCGGTCTGAATTTTAAAAAAGACAGTGAAAGATGGACCCTCGCACGCACCTCGCACGCGCCTTGCAGGCACCTCATATCACGTGTGCACGCTAGACGGCATCGACCCATGACGCCAGCGTACGGTGCATGACTACGTGCAATCGGACATGTAAAGCTAGACATTTGGAGAGGAAATCCCATCAGCCTTCAACCTTCTACTTACACCACACCACCCAAACTGCACTGAAACAGACCGTCAGCTGGCATTCTCCTATCTACACCACACTACCCAAACTACACTGAAACAGACCGTCAGCTGGCATTCTCCTATCTACACCGCACTACCCAAATTACACTGAAGCACACTATCAGCTGGCATTCTCCTATATACACCGCACTACCCAAACTACACTGAAACAGACCGTCAGCTGGCATTCTCCTATCTACACCACACTACCCAAATTTTACTCAGTCCCACCATTAGCGGCACCACGCAACAACAATATTTCACAAAACCGTGTTTGTTACCTGACATTTATTGAAAAAAATTAATTCAAGAGGCATCAAACCGCCGCCAGCTCTATTTGGTGTAAGCTGTTGCTGTGTCCTGTTGTTTATAGCAATCAGTATTGCCTTTGCAGCGGACCTCCTTCCTCACTTACGCAGACAAGCCTATTTGCTATGTTTAATTGTCTCCAGCCTCCTCCGCCCTACGTTGTCATCAGCCTCTCCTGCTCTGCCAGCCCTCTCGCCATACACCCCACCTATCCTTCCTTCCCTGCTCTACCCACCCCTTGTCTCATGTTCTATCTGCCCCGCTTCCGTGTTCTAGCATCTCTTCCTCTTTGTTCCATCCACCCCCTCTCTCCCATTATGCTCCCTCCTTAATGCTCCACCGATTCCTCCTCTTGTGCTCTACTCACCACTTCTCCCAGCTGTACAAGTGACTTCCTTCCTCCATCAGTCCCATTTTTCCTGTTCCACCAATTCTCCTCTTGTGCTCCGCCCGCCACTCCTCCCAGCCCTACCAGTCACTTCCATCCTCTCTCAGTCCCTTCTCTCTTGCGTTATCTGTTCCTCATCCGCTGCTATACTTGCCCCGTCTTTCCTCCGCCATCCACCGACCCTCGCCAGCTCTGCCAGCCCAAACCCCTGCACTATTCGCCCTCCTCCTCATCGCCCCATCGACTGTCCGTCACCTGCTGTGCACTGAGGTTAGCCTCCTCTCCTCCGCCCGTCCCTCCTGCCCTCCCCCTACTCTCTGCTCCTGCTCTACATGCCACCCTTGCCAGCCATGCTGACAGGCGGAGTACGGCCGGCGGCCTCCCCGGCGTCCCAGAGACGGAAGACGGCCGGATGGCCACCCCCGAGCCGCCGGCAGAGTCGGCGCCGACCGAACGTCTCGACAGAACCGACGAACATGGCCGTCGCGGCGGCGGCGGCCGACGGCGAATCCCGTCACAGGACCAAGGCGAACCCCGCCAGCGGCGCTCTGCAGCGGAAGTGGGGGAGCCGTGCTCTGCTTCCCGCCGGCGGAGGTGGGCAGCGACATGATGGCGCAGGCGGATCGAGCTAGGCGAACCACCAAGCGGGGGCAGAGGTGCCCCGCAGTGGTGAGGCAGAGGTGCCCTGCAGTGGCCGGGGCAGCGGTGCCCCACAGTGGCGGGGGCAGCGGTGCCCCGCAGTGGCGGGGAAGAGGCGTCCCACAGTGACGAGGGAAGAGGTGTCCCACAGTGGCGGAGAAGAGGTGCCCCACTGTGGCGGGGGTAGCGGTGCCCCGCAGTATGGGGGGGGGGGGGGGCAGCGGTGGTAGAGCGGTCACGGTCGCGTCGCGGGAGATGGACCACGAGTCGAGTGCGCCGCTTCGAGACTACCTCGGGTTGCGTGTGAGCCCGCACTCAGGGCAGAACTCGGTTAGCGTGCTCAGCTCGGCTAACCAAACTCGGTTATAGTGGCCAACTGTCTAGTGTAGTTCCGCTGAGCCGGTATCGACCAGACAACTGGCTGGGTCCGGCAAGCACAGTCGCGGGTGTCGGCCGCTCCGGAGCTCGGCCTCATGAGGATATTTCGGTCCCGCCTTCGCAGTCATCGTGGTGCGCCTGCCCGGGGAGTAGCAACCAAATTTCTTTATACCTGGTGAGTGGACAGCAAGCAGCCATGGTTGGAGAAGTAAGACACGTTTTGCGGCGTGAAGCAAACGAGGTGACAGGAAACATGATTGCCATCGCCAAATAAATGTCACATAAACTAAATTCAATAGAGCTCGCCGCCGCTGGGAACCCGTGTAGACCTGATTTATTAGTGCATTGTTGTGTCCATCCTTCGCTCGGATCTTGGATCGGATTGGACATCGCACACTCAAAATCCTTGCGTCTGAAGTAGGCGACAACCATTGCCGCTAATGCGTTCATTGTCAGACTTCAGTACACGCAACACGGCCAACATCTGATGATGGGCTATCTGCCAGGCTTCCGCACGGACAACAAAAATAGGATCTGATGACGCACTCGCAGTCTTCAGCAGGCGGTGACGCCACCTTTGCTGAGGTCGTCATCCATTTCGAGCGGACACAACGACACCACCAAGCTCGTTAGCAAACGCCATAAGAGTCAACTGCACCAGCCAACGATCGCGGCCAGGCCCCAGCAGTGCCACCCTCGCAGAGACAACAGTCCCTGCACCCCCAGCCCCCAGAGAGGCAACAGCGTGAACGGGTGGCAGCGGGTGTCGACGGATGGCCGGCAGTCCGCATCAGCGCACATCAGAGGCAGTGTCATCCATCAGAGCCAGC